GTTAAGATCTATTTTAGAGGTCAAACGTCCATGCATGGTTGGCTGCTTCTGCTCGGCAGAGGTCGAGTGGTTATGAATTTCCTGTCTTCACGGCGGTCATCTAAAATCTTCCGCCTCCCTTGCATTTCAATGACTGTATGCGGCTTCAGCTTTGACTGTTGGCTCTGTATTCTTGTTTGGCACGGCTTAACTAACAGTAATATGGTCTTCAGTGTATTCCGTGAACTGTAAGTTGGACTTAACATTTTGAAAGATTTTTTAAATGTAATTTTTTCCACAGCAATAAAGTCTAAAAGAGAAACGATAGTCACGCTTCCGAGACCAGACGAGATCCCAATCATCAATTAGGGGGGGGAACCCTGTTTACTTTTCACTGTCCATTGAGCGTGTGTGCTGAAGTAATGTTGCCCCCCCCGCCTGGTCCTCGGGCGGTGCACCTCCTGTCACCGACTTCATTTCACGTTGAGCAAAATGCATGGACGGCCCGGCAGCGCCACTGCGTCTAACGCGTTGCCTATACGTGCGATGAATAATGCCTTCTCCTAATGCAGCAGGAAAATGCGTTGCCATTGACTCTAGACCATTTTGTTTGTTGGTCAACGGTACAATGGCTGTCTGCTGCGTCAAGATAGCAGGGAGACAACAATGCGCCTTTCCACCCCTTGTTATAAGACGCTCACGGGTGCACCGGTGAGCACAAGCACACAAAGTGGGCGAGAAAATGACAACTGTGATGCAGTCCAGTTGGGCTGTGCACTATTTTGCACCGGGTGTAATCATGGGCCCGAAGGCTCAGTTTCATCAGGCCTTCGGTGACTCGTCCACCACATCACTACTCTGCTTTGTGCGGTTCTTGTGATACACTCGGTCGTGCAGTTTAAGTTGTTTGCTCAGTATAATTAAGCGATTCATATTCATATCAAACCAGATAACTTAATGTCAGCAGTAGTGCTGTGAAAGTAAACAGCATCTCATACTAAGTCTCGGAGTACCCAACTGACTGCAAGCTTGTTTGTGTTTGTATAAATTGCTTTGCAATAACGTGCAATAGGGATTCACGGGTCAACATTGAGGCAATATTGATGAGTTATTTATCTAAATATTGGATTGGAAGTTTTGAGTAACACTTATGTGAAGTATTATTTACACTATACCGTTTGTAAATGTTAACATGGTGTAGCATCATTTACGTACATCATGTGGCTTTCATTCCAGTATCAGCAAAATTAGCGATGGCATTTTTAGCCATTTTTAACCCATGAAATGCTGATGTATATATGTTTGGTAAGAAATGTCAGTATTAACACCGGTATTGATGGGTTTCATCACAGTGCAGTCTTATAATTGAATTTACAGTTTAAAAAGCTCACTCAGTACACCTTTAACACATTACGCAAGGTTTCCACTATGACGTTACCTAATTTACCACCAGGTGACAGTATTCCTCCTGTGTTGGCCCCATGTTGACAGGTTCACAGGGACACTAAGTGCATTATTTGACCTGAGTAGAACACATCAACCCAACAACGTTCCTATGAACCAGCTGTGATTCATTGCCACCAGCGAACCTAATGCAAATCAGATGATTGGTATTCTGCAAACACAACACACTTTTAACTCTGCACAACAGAAATCTCCAGTGTGAATGCAAAGAAATCCCTTTTTCCACCATTGGAGATAACAAACAATAATTCTTATCTTGTCTGTCACTATTTGAAATCGTCACAAGGAAACTGCAGATAAAACATTTTTCCGGTGCATGAAATTTAATTGAGCAAGTTCTGATTTCACATACATATTTTAACGATGTGACTAAAGCAAATGCAATGCATCATAACAAGAAAACACGGAGGCCCAGTAACAATCGCTTGTTGCAGCCTCATCTGTTCAAATAAATGTGTGCCAAGTAGTAGGTGTAATACCTTAAGTCAATCTTTTTTAGTGAGACGTAAACAAAGATGCTTATTTGCTTCAGGCAAAGAAGAATACAAGCTTCCTCCCCCCAAGAGGCTTTGTGTAACAACGAGGATGTTTGGGAGTCAATGTGTGAATGGAGGCAAGAAGAGAATTACAGGCTGATCACCTTGAGATGCAATTGTTCGGCTGCTAGCGGCTGCACGGTGTTTGGACAGCAGCGGCGTGTTTCTGCTGATTGTCGGCATATGAGAAAACACTACAACAAAAAAGGGACGTTTAACTGGCACGCAGTCTGAACATTCGTCTGACCTTGTTCGATATGTGATGGCACGTTTTCCCTGAACCACATGCCCTGTGCCTCCTATTTTTACTTGTTAATTCGCACGTCTCATATTGATCTGACAGGGCTCATTTCCAAAGAAACGTCACGCTTTGGTTCCTCTGGAGAAAACCCCCCATGACAATCTGGATGCTGTGAAGATGAAAAATGAATTCCATTCTTTGACTCGAGAGAGCGGAATTCACCAGCTAGACAAATGCAAAAATGTATTAATAAACCTAACGGTGAGAAAGAAAGGGGAAAAGACAACGGGATCAATAAAGGAATCGAATGCTTATGAAAAGGAGGCATTGCAAAATGATGTAGGACATGGAGGTGCCAGACGTGGATTGCACCTGCAAATGTAACACATTATTCTGTGTGACAGCTTTCAGATATATTTACCACCGCGTGAGGGGAGGTTTTCGCTGTAATATCTTCATATTCTGAAGGGTACGGTACTGAGAAAAAAAAAATCTCCCCGTGCTTTTTTCTTCAGTCCCTAAAACAGAGCTGATTAGTAAATAAGATTTTGTTATAGCCAAAATTATAACAAAATGCGTTTTTTAAAACCACAGTTTAATAAAATATCTAAATATGTTTACATGGAACACATTTGATCTCAACATTTTCAATATACATTACAGGTCACTTAGCTGATGCGTTTATCCAAAGCTTACATTACATTTTTAACCCCTGTTGCCTGGGGAGCAATTAGGGATCAGGTGTCTTGCTCAGGGGCACTTTGACATGGGGCAGCCGGGGTTCAAACCACCAACCTTGCAGTTCCCAGCACACCCTCTCTACCCCTGCGCCACGATGACCCCAATGTAATAGTTATATACAACATTATGTTTACCACACTCAAAATAAGACAGGAAATGCTGTTAGCAGCGAATCAGAGCCAAACAATTCCTACAATTAAAATGATTAAACATTCAGATCTAATCTTAAATGTCAACATAGTGTGAGCAACGCAAAAGGATATGTTTTCTTCTCCATTTTACTCTGAGCTATAATTGCGCACACAGTATATTGTCTAACTGTTTTTAACGTGCATCGAAAAACAGATCCTCAAAATTCAACATTCAATCAGAAACAAAGTGAGATCCTTTTCTTAGTGAATACCGGTTTGCAGCCACCTGTCCATCAGTTACCGCTGACACCCTCTGCTAACATCTCAACACCGGCGCCTAATAGCTTGCTGTTGGACCATCAGAGCATCCATTCATATCTCAGTTAATCAACCTCACGTCCTCTAAGGAGTACATTTAAAATCAAAATTAATTAAATGTCCATGCGTCTTCCTGATAACGTGGTGAAGAGGTCATAAATAACCGTTGAATGAAAAGACAGATGCTGCGGATGAAAGCCAACGGGTCACGTGGTCGTAGTCGAGCGGCTACGCTGTCCCGACGACTCCGTTTGTTGTTGAAATTTTGCCGTCACATCAAGAATATTGTTTCTTTTTCTTTTCGCGGTTTCCATCGGGAGGAGTGTTCCTTCAGTGGGGTCCCGGAATGCTTGATGTACCATTTGACAGAACACCCAGTAGACATGTAAGAACATAATTTGCTCATCATAACGGACGAATCGGGGCCATGCCAGCTTCAATCTGTGTCATCTGTTGTGTGATGGTTTCTCGGTTCTGGGGGTCATTTGGCATGCGGGAACATTAAAAGCAGCACAACAGGAAATGGTGTAGACGGTATTTATATAATGTCTAAGTTCTAAAAATTCTTCAAATGATGCAGAAACGACCATTATGCTTTGCCAACCACCACCGGCAATCTTATTTCTATTAAGCAGTTGTGGTGTTTGACAGTAGCCCCCCCCGCTTTTTTTTTCTAATCATACAACATGGTGGCCAAAGATGCGATGTTGCTGTTCCCTGTACTTTTCCTGTCAACGTTTAACCAAAATGCAGTGCACTCCAGTACATCTCAGTATTAAAGTAACAGTCACTCTTTCATGCAGCTTTTAACTAATTCCAGTCAAAAGACAACCCCCCCCCCCGACCCCCGCCCTCAATCTTTGACAAGATAAGAATAAGCGTGTGCTGCATCCCACCGAGAACAGCTCAGTAAATAATATCTTATCTCTTCTGATGCGGTCACACTCATAGTAATAAACTAGTGTTGTCTGCCGGCTCTCGCTGACATTAACAAGATATGCCTTTCAAATATCATGGCCTTTGGGACTGGGTCACAGTCGCTATTTATAGAAGGTCAAAACTTCATGATAGTTCGGCGAGAGCGATAACCGAGAATAGAGCGACTTTAGCTGGCTGTGCCGCAGCTGCTTTTGTGTCGGCTGTTGCTGGAGGCTCTTGAACAGATGTGATCTACATAGACTGTGGATCACTGGTTTATAGTCGGTACCGGTGCTTACAGTACTTGGAAGTGATACAGAAACACTGAAATGTTAAACGTTGCAATGCTGCCGTTGGGGTTTCAGAGCAGGTTGTCCTTTCTTTTCTTTCGCAGTACTTTGATTTTTAGTGGCAAAATTTGAAATAAAGTTGGCGAATATTGTTATTATGACGTATGTAGATGTACTGTAAATGACATCATCATCCTTTAAGTCTATGTTGTCAATCTTATAATATTGGTCAAAGAAGGGCTCCCAAGTTCAACCACGTGTGACATGTCTAAAAAGTTACGACGTCCCTCCTCAACAGATGCACCACCCTTCGCTTAATATGTGCTCTCTCTCCCCCACCCCCTCCTTAATATTCATAGCTGTGCCTTTAAAGTGCTGGTGCCTCTCTCGCTGTGTCCGGGCCCGGTGGCGTGTGCCTGCTGTGTTTACTGTTCACCTTCTGCCCAGAGTCAGAGCCCCCGAGCTGCTACAACCGGAGCCACCATGTCCAAACCGCTGTCCGACCACGATAGAAAGAAACAGATTTCCGTGCGAGGACTCGCCGGCGTCGAAAACATTTCGGCGTTGAAGCAAGATTTCAACAGGCATCTCCACTTCACGCTGGTCAAGGACAGAAATGTGGCCACCAGGAGGGATTACTACTTCGCCCTGGCCCACACTGTGCGGGAGCACTTGATTGGCAGGTGGATCCGAACTCAGCAGCACTACTATGAGAAAGACCCCAAAGTAAGTCACGAGAGCACCAGGAGTTATTCAACTGATAACTAACATAAAAGGCGTGCTATTCTCTCAGTATAATATCTTGTGTTTGTGATACACGTAGTACAGTTTGCCCCCACACACAAGTACTGGTTCCCACCTGCAGGACATCTGAGAAAGTCTGTTTCATTGAGCACTTATTGGCTACTCAGGAGACACCGTGCCCTAACTTCAATCTGCTACCGTGTCATGAAGTACTGCACCTATTAAACCAAAGGGCATTAATCATTTTTGTAAGAGCAGGGGTTTTATATTCCTGCACAGCACTTCCAGCAGCCTGAAGTCAGTGTAAGGTCATGGCATTTAAACTTCAACTTCTCATCACTGTGCTGGTATGCTGCCGTTCTTATAGTGTGCTGAAACGTTAAACCCCTCCGTGACCTTCTGTTCCCTTCCTGTCTGGCCATAATGCACATATCTCTTACTTGTGTCATATGAGCACATACCTCTAAGGGCACCGGGGTTCATGTACAGTGAGGCGGCGTCTCAGCGGCTGCAGTGTTAATAAATGAAGAAAAAGCAGCAATTAAAACGACAACAGGAAGCTGCAAATAAACAGCAAGAACCACTACATTATAACTGTGTATAAATAATAATGGTTGAGTAAAAAATGTATTTTCTTAGAAGGAAAAAAAAGTTCCTCACAAGATCATTATTAACTTTACTGGATAAAGAGGGTAGAAAATGTCCCTGCTCTTCTCCGCTTGCCCCGCAGGGTTACAGTTCTGAAGTTTAACTTTCAAAGCCCGTACATCTCCATCTCAGTAGGGAGACATCTACTTCTCGCATCGAGCAAGTTTTCAGATTCCGTCTAATCATGCGTGGGTGGGCTGCAGCCTCCAACTCAGATAACGTTCGACATCCCGACTGTATGTGTTGCTCCAGACCGAAAGGTCAAAGGTGGATCCCTTAAAGGTCTAAACCGAAACTTTGAGGACGGATGACATCTAAGTCCAGTCAGAGATTTCGTGTTGCATTTAAGGTTGCGAACTGCAAAGTCACTGTTAGAGCAACGGTATTTATTGATACTATTATTGTTATTGTTTTTAGGCTAACATGCATTCTTTTGGGGTAAAAAAAATGTGATATATGTTGATGAGATTAAACAAAGATAAAGTTCAATTTGTAACATGCAGTCATACCTAGTTACTAGTTACTGATGTCATAGCTCTGCCAGTCGTACTAATTATTATTCTCCACATCTATCTGTGCCACTTCACTTTGCACTTGAACTCTGTAATGAAAGGGTATCGGGCTCAGGCTGACCTTTCCAGCGACCTCTACAGGAGCTATTTTTGGCAGGGCCAAAATGTTAGTGTTATGTAACACCCGAAGCAATCTGTCCCCTAGTCCCTCCTCTCCTCTCCTCTCCTCTCCTCTGCTCCCCTGCACCCTCCCCCTCCACGAGGAGGAGAAAAAAAACTAAATGGCAAGGGCTAAACACAGGCTCAGGTGGCGTATTATCCATGCACTCCCAACCATGAAACTAAATAATTAAACAAAGATTTCCTTTATAGGAGGAGGAGGGACAGGGGGGGGTGTTGTTGTGACATTTGGCATATGATCTCGTAGATTTCTACCCATCACGATACTGTGGAGATTGTTTCCTTCATCCTAATCGTACAATGAAAATCTGCTCATTCAGTTTCATTTCTCCCCTCCTCCCGACACCGTAGCGAGTGTACTACATCTCCCTTGAGTTCTACATGGGCCGCACCCTCCAAAACACCATGGTGAACCTCGCGTTGGAGAACGCCTGTGATGAGGCCATGTACCAGGTGAGGGAAAGAGCATATTCTCATTATAACTGTGAGATCCCTTTTTCCAATCATTGTAAAAAACACGAGCTCATCAGTCCGTGATGCGCTCTGTTGTTGTATAGTTGGGTCTGGACATGGAGGAGCTGGAAGACATGGAGGAGGACGCTGGTCTGGGAAATGGTGGCCTGGGACGTCTTGCTGGTGAGCAGCTTTTCATGGTCGACGAATTCAAAGAAATTTGTCCCCCGCCGACTGACTTAAATAATTCATTGCCAGGCGTTGATTTGTTTTTTTTTACCTGCTGTCTCTGTTTTTTAGCCTGCTTCCTGGACTCCATGGCTTCCCTAGGTCTGGCTGGCTATGGTTACGGCATTCGCTATGAATTTGGTATCTTCAATCAAAAAATTGTCGACGGCTGGCAGGTTGGAAATGAAAGAGCACAACAACGGATGTGAAACTTTGTTGCCTTGCTACATTTATTTAAACATCTCATTCATTAGTTCATTTTAACCTTAAATAACCTGCTGAATTTGTTTACTTCACCATTGTCATTTCCTCGTGTTCATTATTATTTTCAGTCCGGCGCGGCTCAATAGGCACTAATGAGTGTTTTTCCCTTCATTATAAATGTCCGTCATTATCCAGGTGGAGGAGGCTGATGATTGGCTGCGCTATGGCAACCCCTGGGAGAAAGCGCGCCCCGAGTACATGCGTCCTGTGCGCTTCTACGGCAGGACCGAGCATCACTCCGATGGCGTTAAATGGGTTGACACTCAGGTGAAACTATTATTTCAAGAAAAAAAATAGAGGCTTTCTGAGATGCGGCGATCTATTTACTGACGTCTTTTCCCGTGCTGGTACCGACAGGTGGTGCTGGCGTTGCCTTATGACACCCCCATCCCCGGCTACAGAAACAACGTTGTCAACACCATGAGGCTGTGGTCAGCGAAGGCTCCGTGCGACTTTAACCTTAAAGACTGTAAGTGTGTCTGTGTCGTTTTTTTTCTCCACCATGCAACAGCTGTCAAATGAGCTTTCACGTCTTTCCTCCTTGCAGTCAATGTTGGCGGCTACATTCAGGCCGTTCTGGACAGAAACCTGGCCGAGAACATCTCCCGCGTGCTGTATCCCAACGACAACGTAGGTGAAAGATGTGACTGTTTCGCCTTTTAGTCTGTCAGAGCTGCAGAAGGGAGGCCACGCTAACCTGCATCAGATGAAATAAGAAGAGATGTTAAATGCTGAACATCACATGAGCTGCACACTGCAGGGCTCCTGTTTAACGGCGTGGCTCATCTTAACTCAGAAGTCCTCGGTCTTCAGCCTGAGCCACCGTGTCTTTTATGGTGGAAATGAGAGCTGCTCGCCATGAGCCGACTCCCTGAAGGCTCGAGGAGGAGGATTTTGGAGATAACCATCTCATGTCAGGGTCTTTTAATTTGTGTCTGTAAAGTAAGAGCAGAAACAGCGGTGGACGTAACATGACAGCTTTGTTTGAATTCAGCCCAGCCAAGTGTTTCCATGCGGTTTTAAACAATGTTTAAGAAACGGCGAACAAAAGTATGGATTCCCTGATTATTTCATAAAAATGAACCCTTTTTAGCTTTTTAACATCAACAACAATAACAATCTAACCAATTGAGGATCAGACAGGATGCACTTTACCCATTTTTATATGATCATCATTTTTGAAGACTTTAAAATGGGGTTTAAAACATTAGCTAATTCGTCATTTTAATCTAACAGACAAATTGACTTTAGAATAACTCGAAGATGAACTACGGGGACAAAATGTAAGTGTATTAACTGCCTTGCGCACATTTAAAACTACAAAATTATATCATTTTACATTTCAACAAAATGTGCTATTTCCTAATTCCCGCACTTGACGCGTGACTGAGCACATACCGGTTCTCCTCCACTTGCTGCCGTGTTGTGTACGTTCTGCCACATTGTATGACGTCGATCCTCTCAGAAAGATGCTTGAGATCCTGAAAGCCGGATCTGGGCCTGATACCATCAACTCAGAATAAAATAAAACACACGTGGGGGGGCAGAAATCCTTTTCTCTGACTGGACAGCAGTGAGCCACGTGTGTTCCTGGGGAACTACAGCGTGTTTAATCACGTTACATTCACCAGTTTACAACAATGACCTTCGGCTCATGATCACCAGTTTGTCTTCAAGAAGCAGACGTTTAAATCTCTCCTTAACTCTTCAGAAAGCCAGAAATTGTAAATAATGTTGACTTATTTCAAAGGGATTTGATGTCGTGCAAAACTCGTCTCGTTAAGGTTGCTGATGAATTCAGCTTTTTTAAATAATACACAATCCGGGAAGTCAGCGTTACATTTCCACACAACACACCTGCATTAGCATGCAACTGTATAATACGGGTTTTTGATGCTTTGCGATTGCAATTGCATGATAAAAAAATGTTTGCTGCAGAACAGACACGGAGATGTCTTTCTTTGTCCTCAGTTCTTTGAAGGGAAGGAGCTCCGTTTGAAGCAGGAATACTTCGTGGTGTCTGCCACCCTGCAAGACATCATCCGTCGTTTCAAGGTCTCCAAGTTTGGCTCCAGGGAAATTGCTCGCACGGACTTCAGCAAACTGCCTGACAAGGTGAAGCGGGAAAAAAAAAACTCCTCCACAAACTACTTTCTGTCAAAGATGAAAAGATTCCGCCTCCGATGTTTCCTCTGTGCTTTTCTTAAATTGCCTCTGTCAGTGTGTCAAACAGGTCGTCAGTGGGTTTTTTATTGTATCTTATTGAAATGAACAGCACAAAGCCCTCCGTGCTGACGTTTAATAATGTGCTGCATGCTTAGGTCGCCATCCAGCTGAACGACACCCACCCGGCCATGGCCATTCCCGAGCTGATGAGGGTCCTGGTTGATGAGGAGAAACTCGATTGGGACACGGTGAGGAGGACACTATGTTTTGATTGGGACATCACCATTTTAGGTTTAGTTAATTTACCTCCAGCATCACTTACAAAAAAAAAGTACAGTGGTACAATATTTATTTTTATGTTGTTGTTTTTCTTGCTGGTGTCCAGGCTTGGGACATCTGCGTGCGCACCTGCGCCTACACCAACCACACCGTCCTCCCAGAAGCTCTGGAGCGCTGGCCGGTGGACCTGTTCGCTCATCTGCTGCCTCGCCACCTGGAAATCGTCTATGAGATCAACCGCCGCCATCTGGAGGCCAGTACTGCACGCTGCAACGTGCTGTCCCCTTTCAAGTGATGCGCTGCACAATGAAATGTGTATTTACGGCAGCAGATGGGTCACACAGTGTCAATGTTCCCCCGTGGTTAAGTGTCGTGATAATAAAGTCAATGATGGTACATCTGTCCTTTGATCGGCGTGGTTGGACACGACGTCGAGGAGAAGAGGGATGATGTCACAAAAAGAAGCACAACAATTCCATTTCAGATATTAGATGTGTTTATGAATGGATGGCTTGCATGTTAATCTTGCCAATGTAAAAAAGATAATGCATGTCGAGAATTTAATGTATGTACACAGTGAACGGTCATGTTGCTGCTTGTCATGTTTACTTCATTTCAAATGATCCATTTTGACTTACTTTTATACCGATGATACGAATTTACTCTTGCTTGCAAAAACAAGCGTTATTTTACTGATGTTATTTTTAACTTTGCAGAAAGTTGCGGCCCGGTACCCCGGTGATAATGAGCGCCTCGGCCGCATGTCCCTCATTGAGGAATGTGGCCAGAAGAGGATCAACATGGCCCATTTGTGCATTGTGGGATCCCATGCAGTCAACGGAGTGGCACGTATACACTCCGACATCCTCAAAGCTACTGTGTATGTCCGCTAAATACCTTCTTTCCCCCCCCGTAATTATTCAAAAGAGATGAATCCCCCAAATTAGAACTACACAGTATGCGTAGTATGTGCTTTAGTTTGTGTTTCATAAATCCTGCAGGCTGCTGCACGGTGTGTGTGTGTGTGTGTTCTGACGTGTGTGGTGCTTCACTCTCTCTGCAGTTTCAAGGACTTCTATGAAATGGAGCCGCATAAGTTCCAAAACAAGACCAACGGCATCACTCCTCGCCGCTGGCTGGTCATGTGCAACCCGGGGCTGGCTGAGGTCATCGCCGAGGTCAGCCGCGTTTTAACACATACAGCGCTGTTGGATAAATATCTTTGATTTCCATAGTCTCCGTTTGCTGTTGACAGAGAATTGGCGAGGACTTCATTCGTGACCTCGACCAGCTGCAGCGTCTCCGCGAGTTTGTGAACGACGAGGCTTTCATTCGCGATGTCGCCAAAGTGAAGCAGGTGAAGTATTATTTGATCCTCAGTTTACAGCCACGTTTATGTGTCAGCTTGGAGGGACTCGTGAATAAACGACCAGGTTTTATTACAGCTGGCAATCAATAAATCAGGTAATTACTGCCTTTTGATTATAACGTGCACAGATTATTCAATGATAGTGTCAACCTGCTGAGCCCTGTGATCGATGCCTCCATCAGCAGCGTGAACGGCCTTCTGCACAATTAGTCGGCACACATGAGTGGGCAGAATGTGTCTTGTTGTTCTTTTCGTCTGGGGTTGTTCATGACGTGATCAATTCAATGTTTTTGATGAAGTAGGAAAACAAGTTGAAGTTTGCTGTTCACCTGGAGGAGCACTACAAGGTGAAGATCAACCCCAACTCCATGTTCGACCTTCAAGTCAAGAGGATCCACGAGTACAAGCGACAGCTGCTCAACTGTCTGCACATCATCACCTACTACAACCGTAAAGGGCACATTTTCAAATTCTGATCAATGATCAAAGTGACTTTTAAGATCATTTCAGGGCAGAATCACGCACATCTTCTGATATCCCCGCCAGGCATAAAGAAGGAGCCCAACAAGCAGTGGACTCCAAGAACTGTCATGATTGGAGGAAAGGTTCGTACGGTCTAAAGACACGCGACTAACGCGGCCCAAGGCCCCCCCTCACAACTCAGCTTCAGTTCATCTGAGCACTCCTTCTCCGACTCGCAGGCCGCTCCTGGCTACCACACGGCCAAGATGATAATCCGTCTGATCACAGCCATTGGCGAGGTGGTCAACAACGATCCTGTGGTCGGAGATCGTCTTAAGGTCATCTTTCTGGAGAACTACAGAGTGACACTGGCAGAGAGAGGTAATTCCCACATCGCTGCCCTAATCCCTCTTTCCCGCTTGTTCTCCTTTTATTTTTCTCCCCCCTGCAAACGCCGCCAGTCCGATGTTTTTGAGACACAAAATCAACCCTCGACCCCCCCCTCCCTCCCTCCTTCTGTCTTTCAGTCATCCCCGCATCCGACCTGTCAGAGCAGATTTCCACAGCTGGCACTGAGGCCTCTGGCACCGGCAACATGAAGTTCATGTTGAACGGCGCTCTGACCATCGGCACCATGGACGGAGCGAACGTCGAGATGGCCGAGGAGGCCGGCGACGGCAACCTCTTCATCTTCGGCATGTTGGTTGATGACGTCGAGGCGCTTGATAAGAAAGGGTAAGGAACCATCCGTCAGGGCTTTGTATCTATCTGTAGCTCATAAAGTTGGTCCACCACGTGTTTTTTCAGGTTTGAGTCCCCCAAATGTTTTTTTCTACAAACTCAAACG